ATTTATTTATTTATTTATTTATTTATCTGTCTATCTTAAAGAAGTCCCTCTAAGATTCCTTGTAATACTGGTTTGGTGGTGATGAAGTCCTTTGGCTTTTTCTTGTCTGGGAAACTCTTCATCTGTCCTTCGATTCTAAATGATAGCTTTGCTGGCTAGAGTCATCTTGGTTGTAGGTCCTTGCTTTTCATCATTTTGAATATTTTATGCCAATTCCTTCTGGCCTACAAAATTTCTGTTGAGAAAGCAGCTGACAGTCTTATGGGAGCTTCCTTGTAGGTAACTAACTGCTATTCTTTTGCTGCTTTTAGGATTCTCTCTTTGTCTTTAACCTTTGGCATTTTACTTGTAATGTGTCTTGGTGTGGGCCATTTTGGGTTCATCTTGTTTGAGATTCTCTGTTCTTCCTGGGCTTGTATGTCTATTTCCTTTACCATTTTAGGAAAGTTTTCAGTCATTATTTTTTCAAATAGGTTTTCAATTCCTTGCTATCTCTCTTCTCCTTCTGGTACCTCTATGATGTGAATGTTGGTATGCTTGAGGCTGTCCCAGAGACCCTTTAAACTATTCTCATTTTTTTGGATTCTGTTTTCTCTTTGCTGTTCTGTGTAGGTGTTTTCTGCTACCTTATCTTCAAAATCTCTGATATGATTCTCTGCTTCATCTAATCTACTGCTGATTCCCTGTAATGTATTTTTCATTTCTTTTACTGTATTCTTTATTTCTGACTGGTTCATTTTTGTTTTCTACTGCTATTTTTATGTTTCCTATCTCTTTATTGACATTCTCCATGAGATCATTGAGCATCCTCATAAGCAGTGTTTTGAACTCTGTGTCTGGTACATTGCTTGTCTCCATTTTGTTTAGTACTTTTTCTAGAGCTTTGTTCTGTTCTTTTATTTGGGGCATATATCTTTGTCTCCCCATTTTGGCTGCCTCCCTGTGTTTGTTTTTATATATTGGTTAAGGCTAGGCCTCCCAGTCTTAGTAGAGTGGCCTTATGTAGTAGGTATTCTGTGGGGTCCAGTGGTGCAGTCTCCCTGGTCACCTGAGCTAGATGCTCTAGGTGTGTCCCTTGTGTGGGTTGTATGTGCCCTCCTATTGAAGTTGAATCTTGGTTGCTGTCTGCACATCAGTGGGAGGAATTGACCCTTGTGCTGATTGGTTGTGAGGGCTGGCTGTGACTTCAGTGGAGGAGCTGTGGTGCAGGGCTGACCCTATAGAGCAGGATTTCCTTTAGCAGGGTTTTGGTTCCTTCCCAGTCTACCCTTTGTGTGTGTTGTCCTTGGAGTTGGCTGGGTGATGCTCTGGCTTTGTCTGAAGCTGGCCACTGGGTGTGCCAGACCTGGGGCCTCTTGGAGGGGACCCACTGTAGGCCAACTTTATCCTCAACCAGTGCCCTGCCCCTGGCCACCTGGTATGAGCCACAAAGCAATACATGGGTGCCACCCATGCTGGGCATGGAGGTGCCTGGAGAGGCCAATCTGCAAACTGAGGCCAGCTGTTGCTAGTGCTGGGCTTAGGGCTGCTTAGCCAGAGGTACAGGACATACCAGAGCCAGATGCCGCTTGTTTGGGTTTTGTGAACCTTAGAGAGATTTTAGTAACGCCCACAGCATGAGCTAAGATAGGTCATTTGTACATGGCTTTGGTGTGTCCACAAGTTGGGTGAGGTCTCAGAGAATCACTAGGGCAGGGCAGAAAGGTGATAGCCAGTTAGATGCAGGGATGGGGAGAGCTCAACAAAAAACAATGGCACTGCCAGCTCCTTCCTTGGGGACAAAGCTGCCCCTCCAGCCCTCACCCTGAAGTTAGACAATTCAGTCCCTCCCTCTATGTCCCTGGTGCCTTTTGAGCTGCTGTCCCAGCCCTGGAACTCAGAGCAAGTGAGTCCATCAGAGAGTAAGTCCGTGTGTGGGCCCTTTAAGAGGAACACCTGGGACTGTAGCTGCCCTCCAGCTAACTCAGCCACAATCTTCACTGGTTTTCACAGCCAAAAGTTATGCGGGATTCTCTCCTCAGCACTGGAACCCTGGGCTGAGAAGCCTGGTGTGGAGCTGGGGCCTCTCACTCCTCTGGGAGGGGACCTCCACAGCCAAGATATTCCTCCTGATTTTTAATGGTCACACATAGGTGTGGGACCAGCATATTCTGTGTCTCTGCTCCCCCTATCAGTCTCAAGGTGGTTTCTTCTGTGTGTCCATAATTGTAGGTCTTCAGTTCAGCTCGACTTCAGAAAATTCTCAATGATGGTTGTTCTGTAGTTTAGTTGTATAACTGATGTGTTCCTGAGAGAAGCTGAACACAGCATTTACCTACTTCACCCCTTGAGGGTATCTGTTGACCTCTCTGTGTCTTTGCTTAGTTTCCTATCTGTGAAGTTGGAAGACTGGAATGGAGGGTTCTTGGGTTGGTTTGAGGCTCTAAAAGTCTATAATTTTTTGTTTAAAGAACAGAATCTTAGCATGTTCATCAGGCAGTAAAGTAATTTAAGCCTCGATTTATATCAATTTCAAGAAACTTGAATTGTGTGTCTATTAGATGCCATGCTCTGTGCTTGGTGCTCAGGATATGGAGACAATTAAAATCCAGTTCCTCTCCAGCATTAACTCACAGTCCAATGAAAAAAGCAGGTAAAAAGAGAATTGCAACTCAGTGCAAAAATTGCAATAAAGGATTTCTATCTCAGGAAATTGGGGATACAAAAGGAGGGGTGACCATCATTGCTGAGAAGGAAGGCCCTTGATCTAGATTTCAGTGAAAGCATACTTCTCTGGGTAAATGTGAGAAGGAAAAGTAGAATGTAGATTCGTAACTCCAGTTTCTATAACAAAACCCCACAATATAACTTTATTTCCAGTTTGTGCAAGGTTCAATATGGATACCTCTGGTCAGTGAGTGATTCTTTGTGTGGTTATTCAGAGGCCCAGGTTCCTTCCATCTTGTGGCTCCTCCTGGGACACCCGAGTCCTCTGCTGGATCCTTTGCATTCAGCAGGCAGAGGCAGGAGAGGAAGAGTGGAGGATCATGTGGGAAGTTTGTATGGGTTGGAAGTGGCATGCCTCNAGACAGCCCTTACAATTTGAAATATGCATGATCTATAATTTGGAGTAGGAGACGTTTCATCTCTGCCCAGGAATGCTGAGAGCATTCACTGAAGAAGATCAGAGGGATAGCTTAATCCAACCCCACTATACGTATTTGCTCAACCTTGGACTTTCAGCTCTGTCTTCTTATCTGCCAGCTTATCACCAGCATCTTCTCCTGCCTGATTGTGACGGATGCACTGAGTTGTGCCCATATCTAAGGGAAGCATGTGCTTTATAGCTCTCCAGAGCTCTGGAAGTTGTGCAGAGTGGGGAGTGGACCACGGTAGCTTATGTAATGCTCCAGCAGTTCATACAACCTCATGTTACAACTTAAGACATAAGCTGAAGTTCCTTGTAGTTGATGTGTGGGCATGAAGACTGGGGCATCTCAGTAACACACAGCAAGCAGGTGGATAGCAGGGACTGGCTGTGTGATGGAGCTGGGATCTGGTTCAGGACCTTCTCGTTGAGATTGGGGCTGGGGTTCTGAAACCCAGAGGCAGAGTGGGGAGCGTGATGGCACTGGGCAAGAGCCAATGAAGGTAATAGGCATAGCCAATGAATTGGGTAACAGTTCATCAGAGTTTATGTTGGATGGTTAATACACCAACGTTTGAAGGACCCAGAAAACTATTTGGGAATTTGGTGGAACTGAAGTTTTCATATGGCAAGTGTACCCAAGGATGGGGAGAATTCAATCTTGAGTGGAGATTTGAGGCCAGGTTCTCGTGTGAAATATCAGTCCTCATACAATCAAGGCAGGCCAGAAAGGCCCTCGCCACGGAGTGGGTTTTTAGGGTAGGGCTATAATCCAATACTCTCATGACTTTTAGTCAGATCTTCCTAAGACATAAATCTGAATATGAAAATCCCTAACTCAAACCCATCAGTGCCTCCTCATGGCCACCAGGGTGGTATCCACACTTCTTAGCAAGGCTTTGAAGGCTTTAACTTTCTACCCCCCTGTGTTCCTTCCTCCCCTAGCCTCTTATCACACCCTCCCTCCTCGCTTGAAATTTAATGAAATGTAGAATTAGTTCTGGTTTCCAAGGCCAAGGCTGGTCCACCATGCCTTCCTTTCTACCTGCAATGCNTCTGGGTAAATGTGAGAAGGAAAAGTAGAATGTAGATTCGTAACTCCAGTTTCTATAACAAAACCCCACAATATAACTTTATTTCCAGTTTGTGCAAGGTTCAATATGGATACCTCTGGTCAGTGAGTGATTCTTTGTGTGGTTATTCAGAGGCCCAGGTTCCTTCCATCTTGTGGCTCCTCCTGGGACACCAGAGTCCTCTGCTGGATCCTTTGCATTCAGCAGGCAGAGGCAGGAGAGGAAGAGTGGAGGATCATGTGGGAAGTTTGTATGGGTTGGAAGTGGCATGCCTCATGTATGCCATGCTTTCTACTGGCAGCACTGGGGAACAAGGAGACCTAACTGCAAGGGAAGTTGGGAATGTCGTCTAGCTGAGTGTCCAAAAGAAAAAGGAAATGTGTTTTGGAGAACACACAGCAGTCTCTGCCAGTTTGTGCTGTGAGCAGCAAGATTTCCCTTGGGCCAATCTAATGGAAGTGTAAATTAGATAACTGTCAAGATTAGAGTTGCTCACCAGGGACTATATTTATCAAATCATGGTTACTGGGAGAGAGTTCACCACAGCCTTGGTTGGTTCAAGAATTCCCAAGTGAGATAGCAGTTCAAATATCTAATAGGTTCTGAAATGTAAGAGGGAGCTGGGTAAAGAAAGTGAGAGTTCACTACTTAGCTGGACAAGTCTTTCCCACTGTCCCCCTGGCCACTTCCCTTCTAATCCACAGGTCTGGGATGTTGATAGAGAACTCATGTCCATCCATTTGACAAATGGAGGCCAATTTATTCCTATGCTTATAATCTGCTTTCTTCTCTCTCTATAGTGACACTTTCAGCTGCAACTCCCTCCTACTTCAGAGGATTCACATTAATTGCTCTCAAAGAGAACAGAGAGGGTGATAAGGAAGAAGACCACGCTGGGACCTTCCAGGTAAGACTCCTTTTGGACATATCCAGTGGGCCTCATTGCCCTGGTCGGTAGAAGCCAAGTGAAAGGTGAACAACCTGAGAAGCCTGAATACAATGAGAGGTACAAGTGTCTGAGGTGGCTTTGCATGCAGTTCCTTTGACCACTTGCCAGACTGGCCAGGTCCACTTGAAAGACCCCATAACGGAGGAGGCCGAAAATGCCTGAAGTCTACCTTAAGGCCTTCGGGGTTGGCCAGCACACAGGGCTCTTCTCTGGCCTTGCAGTGCCTTTGGGCAGCAGACAATCCAGTGTGGTGAGAGCTCTTGGAACCCTGGCAAGGCCCGACTGTTTTCCCTGCATGGCCATTTTGTGATTGACTGGCAATTCTCAAGTGTAAACGGAACAAGAGCTTAGGATGGCCAGACTGGAGGGAGTTCAAAGCACAGGAGAAAGACTATTAAGGGAATGAAGGGATTGATTTATGAGGGAAGATTAAAAGAATTAAACATGCTTTGCTTGGCTAAATGAACAGGACTGAGTTTAAGAGGTGGTAATGGTCTTTAAATGTCAGTCCTAGCAGAGCAACCTCCTCCAGGGGGGGCTTCGTCTGCTTTGTACAAAAGGGCACAGCACAATGAAAGTGGGTCACGAGAAGAAAGGGACTCTCAAAGGCAAGGGCCCTGACAGTGAGTCATATTTCATGGTGCAATATTCTTCCAAGGGAAGTGGCGGGAACATCATCCCCTTTCAAAGGTTTAAAAAGAGGCCGGCAAGCTGTCAGAACATATCCCAGAAGGGCTGGGGTGATCCTAGGAGGCGGCCTGGCTAAATTTGCTGTATCCATTTCTCATCTCAAATATCCATTGTTCTGGAATCCATTTTTACCTGGCATTTGCAAACTCAGAATCAAAAAAGAAAACTCAAGAAGAATACTTATACCCATAACTGGCCACTGGGGACTCTGATACAATTTGTGGGTTCCACAGAGGACCCGGCCCCAAAATACTTTCCCCATCCATTTTTTCATCCCTTGTGGCCAGGTTGTAATTTTGAATCCTGTGATTTAAAAAATGTCCTTTGTTTAGGATTCTGGGCTTCTGGCCTAGTGGGTCTGTTAATTCCATGCTCATTGCAATGTCCTTCTATGCACCTAGATGGCAGGAACTTTCTTGGCATGTATCTGAAGGCGTTACCCAATGATAATACTGTAGACAGCCAATATTTCTGGGGTACTTGCCATAATCCAGGCACTGGGTTAAGTGCTTTACCTTATCTCATTTTAATCTTAATTGAATTAGCTTGCTTTATCTTAGTTTAATTCTCAAAGCAACCAAGTAGCTAGGAACTATTATCCCTATGTTATGTATAGATCGAGAAAATGAAACTAGAGAGATTAAATCGTTTGCCTAAATGGCTAGTAAGTAGTAAGGCCAGGCTCCTCCATTAGGTGTCTGATTCCACAGACTAAATCGCTTTCCTATAGTACTGAATAAGCCCCTCGCACGGGTGTGTTTGGACAGTATATCAGTAAGGATGTCATTATAGGGAAAGGGAGATTCATGCATGTACTTAGCCCATAAAACATTAAAATATACTCCTCTGATCCTGGTTGTGCTAATTTACTGGAGGTGTGGATGATTTATCAGATTCGGGCAGCTGAGACACCTGGGTACCTGAGTGTCAGGTGGGGCAACATTCTAAGAAGGGAAAAGGTGAGGAGTGCGATGGGGGAGTGTGATCTTAATCGTCACCCAAACAAAATTTATCTGCTTTAAAATGATGCTAAGAGGTATATACCGAAAAGAGTTGGAAGCAAGGACTCAAATGGATATTTGAATACCATGTTCATTGCAGCATTAGTCACATAGCCAAATATCCATTGATGGATGAATCGATAAACAAAATGTGGTATATGTATTTACAGTGGAATATTACTTATCCCTAAAAAGGAAGGAAATTGTGACACGTTACTATAACATGGATGAACCTCGAAGACATTGTGCTAAGTGACATAAACCAGTCACAAAAGGACAAATATTGTATGATTCTACTTACTTGAGGTACATAGAGTAGCCAAATTCATAGAGACAGGAAGTAGAATGGTGGTTGCCAGGGGGAGCGGCGGAGGGGGAAATAGGGAATTACTGGTGAACAGGTTTGGAGTTTTAGTTTGGGAAGTTGAAAAAAGCTCTGGAGAGATTCACAGTAGATGGTGGTGGTGATGGTTGCACAACAATATGAATGTATGTAATGCCATTGAACTGTACACTTAAAAATGGTTAAAACGGTAAATTTTATGTTATGTCTGTTCTACTACAATAAAAAAAAAATGCTGCCTGAGTTAAGCCTGATGGGGACATGACGTAGAGTTAGGCCTGTGGGGACATAGCTTCTTTCTTTAATGCTATCCTGTTTTAATTCGATGGATTAATAGTCCTCCCCAGCTCACTGTCTCTCCTCAGCTAAATCTTGGTCCTTGTAACTGATGGGTGAATAAGAGTCCCGCTCACAGTGGGCAGTGAGTGAATGTTTGTTGAATGCATAAGTGAACAAATTATTCTTTTTACCAGCGTCCAGAACTCAGTGCTATTTGGAGTTGTGTCAGAACTCCTGCCTTATGCATACTTCCTTTTTCCTTCTCGTGGAGCTTCTGATACCCTTTCTTGTTGCATCTCAGTGGTTCTCAGAGTGTGCTCTCTGTACCAGCAATATCAGCACCATCTGGGAACTTGTTAGAAATACAAAATCTCAAGCCCCACCCAGACCTACTGAATCAGAAACTTTGAGGGTAGGGCCACCACAATCTGTGTTTTAACAAGCCCTCAGGATGAAACCAATGCGCACGCACTCAAGTTTAAGAACCAGTGCTGAAAGGAGATTCTGCCCATCCAACATTGACTCCTTCATCCTCCAATCAACATGTCTGTCTGCTCCTATCTAGCCTCTCATTGCTTCCACCAGCCCTGGAGGGATCAAAGTAGGAAACAAATGTGAAAAATGCCTAGCATACAATAATAACGCTGTGTGCCAGATGTTATTCTAAGTGGTTTACATTTATTAACTGATTTAATCCTCAGAGCAACACTATGAGATAAGCATTATTGTCTTATTTTTTACAGATGAGGAAATTGTGGCACGGAGCATTTAAGAACTTCCTTAAGGCCACTTAGCCCTAAGCGATAAAGCTGGATTCAAACCTAGGCAGTCTGGCTCCAGGCCCCCGCTCCCAACCACGGTGGACACCACCTCTCGATGTGTACATGCTGAGTGAATAAAATGAGGGTGTACTACGATTTTTTTTTATGGTGGTAGTTTCTATGCCAAAGGCTTTATATATATTATCCTACTTAATTCTTGTAGCAGTCTTGTGATGTCTGTATTGTTATCTCTATTTTACAGATGATGAAACTGAGTCTCTAAGGGGCTAAGTAAATTGACCAAAGTAATCCAACATGTACAGGGAGACAGAGGGGCAAACAATGTGCCAGTGATTTTTTTTCACACATCTCACCCCCTCTGCCCTGCCTCGTGCATTAAATGCACACTACACTTGGGTTCCCATTATCTCAGACATAGAGGGTGAGGCATCATAGCTTGTGCCTCCATCTTTCCTCTCCTGCTTTATTTTTTTTTNGATCTTCCTAAGACATAAATCTGAATATGAAAATCCCTAACTCAAACCCATCAGTGCCTCCTCATGGCCACCAGGGTGGTATCCACACTTCTTAGCAAGGCTTTGAAGGCTTTAACTTTCTACCCCCCTGCGTTCCTTCCTCCCCTAGCCTCTTATCACACCCTCCCTCCTCGCTTGAAATTTAATGAAATGTAGAATTAGTTCTGGTTTCCAAGGCCAAGGCTGGTCCACCATGCCTTCCTTTCTACCTGCAATGCTGCTGCTCCTCTTGTCCACTGGACAGACTCCTATTCCCCATTCAGCTTGCAGCTCACATGCCCTCTCTTCTTTAAAGCCTCCTCTAACTCCCCCAGTGAACTCACTGTTCCCTCCTCTGGGATCCCAGAGTGCTTTGTTCATACCTTCATAACATCCACCGTGTGTTATAAAAAATATCTGCTGATGTGTCTCTTTCTCCCATCTGTTAGATTGGGTGCATCTCGTGGGCAGAGGCCATGCCTTTTCTCTTTGTGTCTCCAGTGGCATAGCACTGGACTGGCACAGACAAGTGCTCAGTAAACCTAAGGAGAAGGGAGGTTGACATATAACACATGGTCACCCATGAGAGCTTTGGAGGAGGAACCGAAGCAGGAGTGAGAAAACTATGCACTGAAGACAAATGATTCCTTTGTCATTCATTCATTCAGCTAGTATTTATCAAGCATTTTCTATGTGTTGAGGTATGCTAAATACTAAAGATACAGCACAGTTCAAGAGACTTGGTCTCTGCTCTCACAGAGCTTACAGGCTATTAGGGGAGACTAGCATTTAACAATTCACAAATAAATATTTAATTAAAATTGTGCAAAAGCTATCCAAGAAAAGGAAAGGGTGTTGACAGGGTATATTGTATGGAGGTGGGAGGTGCTGAGTGGACCTCACAAGGCACTCTATCGTGGGTGTGATGAGCTGCAAGAAGACTCAGTTTATTATAAGGACTTACTCAAATCTCTCTATAACCTGGCCCTGTGAGCATCATCCCCCAAAACATTGATCTTCATTGCAATCCTCTCAGTGGTCTTTCATTAGTACCTACTAGAGTTTTTCTNGCCACTCGGCCGGCCCTCCTCTCCTGCTTTAGACATGGTGGTCTCTATGCTCTCCCCCTCACACTCTAGAGTGAAAGTCTTCTCTGTGTACCCAAGCTGTCATCTTTGGAGTCACACATTTATTTATCAGCATTGATTATGTCTCCTATGTGCTGGGCACGGAGTCGGCACTGGAGATACGATGGTGAGAGAAACAGACATAGCCTTCCCCTCATGGAGGAGCATACAATATCCTCTTTGTAATTGTACCTTAAGCTACCTCTGCTGCCAACAAGCATAGCAGTGAGTCCGCAAGTTAT